TGGTTGAGACGCCTGGTGACGGTTTGGGGTTTCAGTCAGTAGGGTTTAGGATGTGATTTCGGCTTTTGGGTTGAGGTTAAACCCTAAACCCTAAACCCTAAACCCTGAACCCTAAACCCTAAATCCTAGGGTTTTGGGGGTTGAGGTTTAAGTGTGAGGTTGAGGTTCAACTGATTTCAGGACTGCTGGCAACCGCCCTTGGTTACCTTCGACAACTGCTGCCACCTGTCCGCAGGACATCCTGAGTGGTTTAGGGTTTAGGGTTTAGGGTTTAGGGTTTAGGGTTTAGGGTTTAGGGCTTAGGGTTTAGGGTCATTCATTGCGGCTTGTTCGCCTTTGACAACGCTGAACAGTGAGAGGGCACCAGAATTTGTCTCGGCCTAATCTGAACAAGCGGGTACCCAACTTTGACTACCCCTTTTGAATTGAATTTCCACATCCTCCATGCGAATGTATATGCAGAAACTTTGCAAGCTTACAGGGTTTTTGCCCCTGTAAACCATATGGGCCTGGACCTAAAATGCGAACACATTTTGGTGCACCCAAAACATACGGGCCCGTGTTGAAATGGGTACACCAAAAAAGGACCCTCATGTCGACTAAGCCCGAAACCCCGACATCAGTTCAGGAGTTTCCTGGGCTTAAGCCCATGAGGAGTCGAGGGCCGAGCTGCATGTTGGGATGCGTGGCGTCATTTCGACCGCTGCTGCTTCCAAGGCACCAGTTTCGGGGTTTAGAGTTTACGATTTAGGGTTTAGGGTTAGGGGTCTCAGGGTTTAAGGGTCTTGGATGTACGGGTTTGGGGTTTGAGTTGTTAGAGTCTGTTCGAGGTTTTTGGGAGATAGTGCTGAAGGTTGGGGGTTCCATGAAGACTAGGGTTTAGGGTTTAGGGCTTAGGGTTTAGGGTTCAGAGTTTAGGGTTAAGGGTTAGACAGTACAAGTACAGCATAAGAGCGCAAACCCCAACGCTTTAATCTTGATCCCGCTAGCCGTAAGCCCCTGAGAAAGCCATGGTGTGTAACTCCTTTTTGAGCCACAGAATACCCAAGCAGCCCTCCCTTGTGAGGGTCAACTCTTCGTCCCTGAACCTTAACCCCCAAACCCGAAACTCTAAACCTTAATCCCCTAAACCATAAACCCGACACCCCTAAACCCTAAACTGGCCCTAAACCCTACACCCTATACCCTAAACCCTAACCCCTAACCGCCTAACCCCTAAACCCTAAACCCTAAACCTTAAAGCCTAAGCCCTAAGCCCTAAGCCCTAAGCCCTAAACCCTAAACCCTCAGCCCTCAACCCTAAACCCTAAACCCTAAATCCTAAACCTCTACTCTGGGCAGGTGCAGCGGCTCCCAGCGACCCAGCTGATGAAGAGACGGGGGCGCTGAGGCAGAGGCCTCCAGACGAGAGCCCCTCGGAGCAGGCCGGGGCCCCTACACCACCCTAAACCCTAACTTAGGGGGTTTAGAGGTTATGGGTTTTTTAGGGTTTTGGATTTTACGGTTTAGGGTGTAGGGTGTAGGGTTTAGGGGACAGAGGCTTGGTTTAGGGTTTCGGGTTTAGGGCTAAACTTCAAGAATTTCACAAAGAAAACATGTACTGAGGCAGCGAGGGAAGATAACATGCAGAGTTGTGAACACCAGACAACGGACAATGAACCTGTCCTGCTGGGAAAACCCTCCCAGCAGCCTACGAAGTCGTAGAGGGATTCGCAATATTGAAGCCCCAGCTGTTGAAGTAGAAAGGGGGCCAGGCCTTGAAGTCTTTTCTCTGGTCCTGAGGCCTTTAACTCTGAAGTTCTCGGGTCTGGCAGCTGAGAAAACAGCGACGGCCGCACTTGAGGGTTGGTAAGCTACACAGGAGTCGGAAGTTGTAGAGCGTGTTCACGATGCCTTTCGGGAACTTGTGAAGGAAGCACAGGTTCAGGATTCGGCTCCCTGCTGGGCGAAGTTGATACGGTCTGCCTGAGTGGCCGCAAGCTCACTCACTCTGCTGAACTGGAGCGAGCAAATAGCAGCAGTGAAACGAAGCAGCTTTCCTTCGCAAAGGGGAGGGACCGGCGCAGTTGGCTGAATACAAGCGTATCTGCAAAATGGACAGCGGCTTAACAAGTGGTGGGCTGATGCAGCGGATAGCACAGAAGAGGCGGTAGACAGGAAAGAACCGAACCGCGCAACAATGCGACGAGCAAGCACGTTACTTTCAAAGCCTTTGAGCCCAAGACCCAACTCTTTGGGGTCTTGGGGTTTTGGGGTTTCGCGGTTTTCGGGTTTTGGGTTTTTTGGGTTTTGGGGTTTGGTTGGGGTTGGGGGTTTCGGTGGTTTCGGGGTTTCGGGTTGTAGTTAGGATTTTGGGGCTCAGCGAGTTTCCGGCTCTTGTTTTTTGGTTTTTATTTAATGGCTACCGCCAGTGCCGCCAACCCCAAATTTTCCAAGGTGTGGGGGGGGGGGGGGGGGGGGGGGGGGGGGGGGGGAAGGGCGGAGCAAGCGGAGGCGGGCGGAGAGCGGGCGGAGGGGGCGGGCATGCACTGGAGCCCTTTTAAAGTCAGTCATCTGATCGAGTCTAGAGAGGCAAAGGGCCATAGGCCCGTAAAACTGTGGGGCTATGAGCCAGTAGGCACAGGGCCAGGGGACCATCAAGGGCATGGAGCCAGGGGGCCATGGCCAGCTGGCCAAAGGGGGGGGGTTGGGGGGACGGTGATGGTGAGGGAAGTCAGGGGGCGATGGGGAGGGTGGGCGGAGCGGGCGGGAAGGGCGGAGCCCTTTAACGTCAGTCAGCTGATCGGGTCTGCCAGAGGCCCGTAAAACCAGGTGGCCATGAGCCACTGGGCATAGGGCCGGGGGGGGGGGGGGGGGGTGGGGGTGGGTGAGAGGAGGGACAGAGAGATGGGGAAGGAGCGGTCGAGCAAGGAAAAGGGGAGCGGGATGGGGGTGGAGTGGAATGGTTGGGAAGGGGAAGGGTGGTGGGGGGCAGGGGAAGGGGTTGGTGGTGGAGGGGGGTAGAGGAGATGAGGTAAGTGGGTGGGGCCACGGGCGGGGTGGGTGGGGGGGGGAGGGTGGGGGGTGGGGGTGGGAGGGAAGGGCGGAGCAAGGAGCGGGCGGAGCAAGCGGAGGGGGTGGGCATGCACTGGAGCCCCTGAAAGTTAGTCATCTGATGAGTCTACAAAGGAAAGGACCAGAGGCCCGTAAAACTGTGGGGCCATGAGCCAGTAGTCACAGTGGGGAGGGGACCATCAAGGGCGAGGCCGTGAAACCAGAGAGGGGGGGGAAGGGGGGGGGGGGTTGGGGGGGTGGGGTGGGTGGGGGGGGGGGAGAGCGGGAGTAGTTAATGGGGGGGGGTGGGGGCGGGCGGGGGTGCGGGGGGGGTTTGGGGGGTGGGAGGGAAGGGCGGAGCAAACGGAGGGGGCGGAGCAAGCGGAGGGGGCGGGCATGCACCGGAGCCCTGTAAAGTCAGTCATCTAGGGTCGAGGCCCGTAAAACTGTGCGCCATGAGCCAGTAGGCACAGGGCCAGGGGACCACCAGCTTGGCCATGAGCCACTGGCATAGGGGCTGGGGTGTGTGTGGGGGGGGATGGGGGGTGGGGGTGGGAGCAAGGAGCGGGCGGAGCAAGGGGAGGGGGCGGGCATGGGGGGGGGGGGTGGGGGGGTGGGGGATTGGGGAGTTGGGGGAGCGGTCAGGCGGCTTGGGTTGAAACAGGAAAGATCGGTGAGGCCTGTGTGGGGGGGGAGGGGGGGGGGTGGTGGGTGAGGGGGAAGGGCGGAAGCGGGCGGAGCGGGCGGAGCGGGCGGAGCGGGCGGAGGGGGCGGGCATGCAGTGGAGCCCTTTAAAGTCAGTCATCTGATCGAGTCTAGAGAGGCAAAGGGGCGGAGTAGTCGGGAGAGGGTAGGCCTGCATGGGGTGGGGGGGGGGGCGTGGGGTAGGGGAGGGCGGAGTGCCGAGCGGGTGGCAAGTGGGGTGAAAGCGGTGAGAGGAGGGACAGAGATGGGGAAGGGGAGCGGTCCGGGGGCGGGAGCAGGGGAGCGGGATGGGGGTGGAGTGGAATGGTTGGGAAGGGGAAGGGTGGTGGGGAGCGGGGGGGGGTCGGGGAGGAGGATGGAGTGGAATGGTTGGGAAGGGGAAGGGTAGTGGGAGGGGGGGCAGGGGAAGGGGTTGGTGGTGGGAGGTTAGGGGCGGAAGGCAAGGCCAAGTGGAGAGGTGGAGTGGAATGGTTGGGAAGGGGAAGGGGGAAGAGGTTGCGGTGAGGGCAGGGAGGGTCTTCACTGACGCCGCCCCGCTGTTGCTGGGGTCGGCGGATAAATAGGGTTGTGAGTTGTGTTGTGGCATTCGAAAGGACCGTGGAGTTTTTGGTGTCCACCTTAGTCCCAAACCCTAAACCCTAAACCCTAAACCCCAAACCCTAAACCCTAAAGTCTAAACCCTAAACCCTAAACCCTAAACCCTAAACCCTAAACCCTAAACCCTAAACCCTAAACCCCAAACCCTAAACCCTAAACCCTGAACCCTGAACCCTGAACCCTAAACCCTAAACCCTAAACCCTAAACCCTAAACAGCCAGGTGACCTCGCCACCCGTCGGGCGGCATTGTTGGACGAATGGCTTTAGCTACACAGCCTGCTGCCGCAATCCTCACACCAACAGCGAGGAGACAAATGAAGTGCACTGCAGGTCCTTGAAGCCCTAAACCCTAAACCCTAAACCCTAAACCCTAAACCCTAAACCCTAAACCCTAAACCCTAAACCCTAAACCCTAAACCCTAAACCCTAAACCTTAACCCCTAACCCTAGACCCTAATCCCTAAACCCTAAGCCCTAAAGCCTAAAGCCTAGAGCCTAAACCCTAAACCCTAAGCCCTACAGCCTCAAGCCTAAACCCTAAACCCTAAACCCTAGGCCCTAAAGCCTAGCCCTAATTCCTAAACCCCAAACCCAACCTAGACTCCCACGTCGGGCTGCTGACATTGGCCAACGAGCATGGGGGGGGGGGGGGTGCCTATGACAAGGTCCATAGTCAGGAAGACACCAGATTTCAGATTCTGACTTGGGGAACCGTCGGTTCGAGTTTAACGTCTGCCTTCCTCAACCAGGGCACACTGAACTCCCCGATTTTGTTTTTCCATGTTGTTCAAGAAGCTTAGAGACCGACGTCCCTAAGCCCTACACCCTGGCTGGCCGATGGGTGGCCGGGATGGGTTCACGGGGAGCGGTGTGAATCCCCGCTTTGTACGCAGGACACCTCTGACCAGCAAAGACGAGCTTCCTGCTGGGACGGCTTCCACACCGAAGAGCGGTGCTGCTTGGGCGTCGTGGCCAGGCTGCAGTCTACTTACTGGACATGTGGGGGTCGACCCTTATCTTGTGCACCTCTCGCCATACCGGCACTTGCTATTTAGGACCCAGTCCTAAGCATACAAGGGGACCCATGTCTTTCGCATTTGATTGCCACATGGCTTCCCCGGCTTTCGGGCAGTAGCTTAGGCCCTAAACCCTCAACCCGAAAAGCCTTAACCCTGAACCCTAAAAACCTTGCTGCCCGAAAACTTACTCCCTAGACCCTCAACCCTACGAACCCAAAACCCAAAACCCAAAATCCAAAACCCTAAACCCTAAGCCCTAAACCCTAAACCCTAAGCCCTAATGTTGCTACAGACCTCCGGAGGTGGAGCCCCCCCAGAGTTGGGTGGCCGCCGAGCGGCTTTCACCCGTCGCGGAGTGCTTGGCAGCCATGTCCGAGAGGCAGCAACTCTTATGGGCCTTGAACCCCCAACCTTGAGATCTTCTCCCTTAGACTAGCAGCCCTTAATAGGGATTCTAACAGGGGGTACGATAATCCCTTCGTAGGAATTCTAACAGGGGGTACTATGATCCCTCTGAAGGACTCTTTAAGGGGGGAGCATCCCAACCTCAAACCCCGTGAACCTTAAACCCTTCAACCCTAAAACCCTGAGCCCTCATGGCCCCTTCCAAACCCTAAACCCAACACCTAGACCCTAAACTCTAACCCCTAAACCATCCTAAACCCTAAACCCTAAACTCTGAACCCTGACCCCGGAGCAATGTGATAGCTTAGAGTTTAGAGGGTTCAGGTGTCATAGCGTTTCCTGGCTTCATGCGTTTCATGAGGATCTTGGTAGTCTATTCTAGGGTTGGGAGGATTGATAGAGTATATAGGTTGGTTCAAGGCTTGGAGCTTCCGTAGGGTCACCCTGACACCCCAAAACCCTAAAACCCCAAATCCTAAAACCCCAACACCTAAAGCCCTAAGCCCCTCAGACAAGGGTAACCCTAAAACCCTAAAACCCTAAAACCCTAAACCCTAAACCCTAAAACCCTAAAACCCTAAACCCTAAACCCTAAACCCTAAAACCCTAAACCCTAAACCCTAAACCCTAAACCCGGAGGCCGTTGAATCTTTCGGACTCCCCAGCCAGCTGTGGAACACGGTACTTTCACGTGGCCACCCTGGGACAGCTGCGGCTGCGGACGCCCAGCTTGGCTTCGGTTGGGGTTTAGGGTTTAGGGTTTAGGGTTTAGGGTTTAGGGTTCAGCATCTCAAGTTCGAGCATTTACTAGGCCAGCAGTGTATCTAGGCAACGGAAAAAACCCACCCGCCCAAAGAATCCCATAACATTAAGAAAATACAAGGTTACTTATTTTCTCTTCGGATGCACCAATCACGCCGTAGTACCAAGCACTTAACACAAGCCACACCAGGCCTTGAGGCCTTGAAACCCTAAACACCAGGCCTTGAGGCCCTGAAACCCTAAACACCAGGCCTTGAGGCCTTGAAACCCTGAAACCCTAAATACCAGGCCGTGAGGCCGTGAAACCCTAAACAGCAGGCCTTGAGGCCCTGAAACCCTAAACACCAGGCCGTGAGGCCTTGAAACCCTAACCATTAGGCCCGGAAATCCTAAACACATTTGGACGAAACGACCTTGCCCAGTAAAAAAATGACCTTGCCCAGTAAAAAAATGACCTTGCCCAGTAAAAAAATGACCTTGCCCAGCAAAAAAATGACCTTGCCCAGTAAAAAAATGACCTTGCCCAGTAAAAAAATGACCTTGCCCAGTAAAAAAATGACCTTGCCCAGCAAAAAATGACCTTGCCCAGCAAAAAATGACCTTGCCCAGTAAAAAAATGACCTTGCCCAGTAAAAAGATGACCTTGCCCAGTAAAGAGATGACCTTGCCCAGTAAAAAGATGACCTTGCCCAGTAATAGCCTTGCCCAGTAAAAAAATGACCTTGCCCAGTAAAAAAATGACCTTGCCCAGTAAAAAGATGACCTTGCCCAGTAAAAAGATGACCTTGCCCAGTAAAATGATGACCTTGCCCAGTAACATTTTTACTGGGCAAGGTCATTTTTTTACTGGGCAAGGTCATTTTTTTACTGGGCAAGGTCGTTTTTTTTGGACGAAACGACCTTGCCCAGCAAAAAAAATGACCTTGCCCAGTAAAAAAATGACCTTGCCCAGTAAAAAAATGACCTTGCCCAGTAAAAAGATGACCTTGCCCAGTAACTCCTTAACATTTAAATTATATATGAAAGAGAGGTTTAGGGTTTAGGGTTTAGGGTCGAGGGTTTAGGGTTTAAAGTTTAGGGTTTAGGGTTTAGGGCTTAGGGCTTAGGGCTTAGGGCTTAGCCCGAAACTCAGGGAGCTCAGTTCCCGCCCAAAATCAGAAAGCCCCTAGAAGCCCTGAACCCCACCTTAGGGTTTAGGGTTTGGGGTTTAGGGTTTAGGGTTTAGGGCTAGGGTTTAGAGGGAACCCCACCGTGCGCCTAGGATGGACTACGTGGCTTCAGGGCTGCCGTGGTTTCTGCTGCCCAGCAGGCCTGGCACCGCAAGCCTCGGAGCCCTTAACGCTTGAATCGCCCCAAAAATCGCCCAAACAAGCCCAGAACCCGTAGGGTTTAGGGTTTAGGGTTTAGGGTTTAGGGTTTAGGGTTTAGGGTGTAAGCCCTGAACCCTAAAACTCTAGACTCTTAAACCCCCAAAACCCTAACAAACACTAGCAAACCGCCAAAGCTTGCATGCCCAAACCACAAACCCCTGAACCCCGAAACCCTGAGCCCCAGGGAAAGTAACTACTAGAGAGGTCCTCACCCGGATGGGCCGACTACGTGGCGCGGTTTGGACCCACAGGCGTGCACAACCACTGGGCGCCTCGGTGTCCTACACTACCGCAGTTTTGGAGCTTGATGGTGTACGTGCTAGGCTTCCAAGACACTAGTTCGGAATGGACGGGGGTTTGGCAAACAGGCAGACGCAGTGAGGTCTAACAAAGGGCACTGAGATGGCAGTCGCATCGGAGCATGAAGAGCCCTAAGCCACCCGAAACCACAGAAAGACACTTGAACCCCCCACACCCCAAGCCCCGAACCCCAAACCCCAAGCCCCAAACCCCAAACCCTAAACCCTAAACACGAAGCCCTAAACCCTAAACCCTTGGGATGTGCGAGGTCGTGGGTGGACTTTGCCTGCCCGTGGCCTGTGACCTGCGCACCGCGGCTGAGCACCTGGTACCGCTAGTGGCCCCATGGTGGCCTCTGCCGGCACCGAGGCCGTTTCGTGGGTTTCGCACCCAAGGAGAACTCCCAAGGCTTAGGGTTTAGGGTTTAGGTTTAATTAGGGTTTAGGGTTTACGTACAATCCTAAATGTTTGGATTCCGTATATTTGGGTTCGAAGTAGGCTTGAAGTCAGCTGTACGTACCCATGATCCTCCAAGAAGGTTGGCGCCCTTGAACGAGACGCACGTCTGGGTGCCACCGGCGCTGGCCGTAGCCCATGAGCTGTTTGAAAGCCACGGCTACATACCGAATCTCGGCATGCAGTTTCAAACGGATGCGGACCTTGGGGACCAGATGAAGCCTAAACGGGTTCATGGCCTGTATTCTCGAATCAACTTTCATGGGTATGGGGTGCTGAACCCTAAACCCTAAACTCTAAACCCTAAGCCCTAAGCCCTAAGCCCTAAACCCTAAACCCCAAACCCCATGTAGCTTCTTCTGAGGATGTGGGTATCGAAGCGCTCATGCCCGGACACATCCTCCGAGCTGCCCTTCTGCAGCCACTCCTGGCAGTTTGCGGTGCAAGAGTACCATCGCCGCCTCCGTGCCGACCCGACGGCCACGGCCTTTGTGGTGGCCTTGCTCACTGCCACTCGGGGAAGTTCGAATAGAATCTATTTTTCTATGGGTCCCCATCCCGATAGACCTAAACCCTCACCCTAACCCTAAACCCTAACCCTAAACCCTCAACCCTTAACCCTAAACCCTAAACCCACAGAAACTTAATTTTTTTTCGGATCCCCAAATCCCCCCCCCCCCCCCCCAGCCCCAGGCCAGCCTCTGTTTCTACAGAGGGTCCTCCCTCCGGGGCCATGTGGTCGCCCTCGGCAAGCCCAGGACTGGTGCTGTTCGTAGGTTGCCAGAGACCCCCAATACTCCGTAATGAAGGAATACTCCTTAGAATGCAAGAGGGTTCCTTATAGGGTTGAAGGATTATTCCTTCATTGGGGCTTGGGAGCCTCTGAGTTCATGAAATTCAGAGTTTGGGGCTCTTGTTGCAGGAACAGAACACAGTTTCAAGCCAGAGAAGCAAGGGTACGATAATGCATTTTGTGGCTTCTTGTTGCAGGAACATAGCTAAAGCCAGAAAAGTACGGGTATGATAATCTATTTCCCTCAACCAGTATATCGTAGACGTGTGCCGACCATTTCTATCGAGTTAGTGTCACGTCGGTGTTTCATGGTGTGGGCACAACGGATCAACTATCTATGGATTCACCAGAAAAGTTTTGGGACATGGGAGGGTCCAAAACCACGTCAATGGGATGGTCAACAATACTGTCATCATGTGCTATCTGCGCATACATTCTATTTTTGTGTACAGAATAGGGCCCCTAAGCGTCTTGACCGAAACGTTTTGACAGAGTGCCTACATGTGAAATTTCATTTTGTGCTGTTTTGTTGGGTTTTGAAACTCAGGGTTCAGCTTCCGCGAGTAGGGTTTGAGGCACCAGTTGATCCATCCCAATCCCTGAACCCCAAGACCCTGGAGTCTTCAAGTCCTTGTTCCTGCAGGGGATCTCTTCGAGTAGACGTGCTCCGGATTGTTCTGACCGCCGCCGCCCGCACCTGAGTCCCCCTGGTTCTTAGTAGGGAATGAGGGAATGAGGGCCCTATATAATCCCTTAAAGGGTATAAGTGGGCCCCTCCTTCCCTCATTCCCTATTAAGAACCAGCCAGTAGTTTTCTTGTGAGAGTGCTCGAGTGCTCGAGTGCTCGAGTACTCGGCGCGCGCTCTGCGCAGGTGTCGTTTAAGACTCAGGGCTAGGGCTTTCGGGGGGTGGGCTTTAGTGTCAAGGTCTAGCAGCCACCCTAAACCCCAAACCCTAAACCCTAAACCCTAAACCCTAAACCCTAAACCCTAAACCCTAAACCCTAAACCCTAAACCCTAAACCCTAAACCCTAAACCCTAAACCCTAAACCCTAAACCCTACACCCTACACCCTAAACCCTACACCCTAAACCCTAAACCCTAAACCCGAAACCCTAAACCCTAAACCCTAAACCCTAAACCCTATACCCTATACCCTAAACCCTAAACCCTAAACCCCAAACCCTAAACCCTAAACCCGAAACCCCAAACCCCAAACCCTAAACCCTAAACCCTAAACCCCAAACCCTAAACCCCAAACCCTAAACCTCATGCGCCTCGTCTCAGGTGATTTGGGTGCACACTTTCTCGCAGGGGAGCTGGCTGCCAGTTGCTCGGTCGGCCCTTGGGATGCTTTACATTTTCCCTAATGGGGTTTAGGGTTAGGGTTTAGGGTTTAGGGTTTAGGGTTTAGGGTTTAGGGTTTAGGGTTTAGGGTTTAGGGTTTAGGGTTTAGGGATTGGGGTTTAGGGGGATTGGGGTTTAGGGTTTAGGGTATCTGCTTAAGAGGATCATTATTCTCCTTATTCTTGGGTTTAAGAGGATCCGCTTATTGGGTTTCAGAGGAATCATATCAAGGAATACTTTTACCTTAAACCCTAAACCCTAAACCCTAGACCCTAGACCCTAAACCGTAGACCCTAAGCCCTAAACCCAAAACCCAAAACCCTAAACCCTAAACCCTAAACCATCCTAGGTTGAGAAGCAGAGTGTCGGGTACTGGCTGGGCCACTCCGCAGATGCCATGCTGAAGGCCACTCAGAAGGTTTAGGGACTAGGGTTTGAGGGTTTGAGGGTTTTATGGTTTAGGGCCTGGGGTTTAGGGTTTTTTTGGGGCTAGGGGATTTTAGGGGATTTAGGAGCTTTAGGGTTAAGGGTTTAGGGCTTAGGGTGTGTATCAGTGCAGGTGCGCAGGAAGTGCGCCTCAGACTTCGGGCGCACGCGGCTTCGGGTTCTCCCCCAAAACCCCCCTAGCAGGGACCAGCCGGCCCCAGGAGGCTTTACTTGCAGGTTCATGGTACTTATGAACCAATTGAACCAATTATAACTGTACTAAAACACCCACTTATAAGCCCCTTAAGTGCCCTAATATGGTAAAAAGTACAGTTATCAGTACAGTTATAATTGGTTTGCAAGTATCATGAACCTCCAAGTACCCTGTCAGGCGCGTAGGTTGGCCACGCGCCAGGGCAGAGACCTGTCCAGCTCGAGCACGTTTGGGGTTCCAGGAATGTTCGCTTTGATTTGGGAACTCTGGGCCCTACACCTCCCTGCGTGGTTCGTTATGATAAACTCGACCCGAAAGCCTCACACCCCAAATCCACAGTCACCCCCTTCGACCCACAAAGCCCCCTACACTTCCGAAGCGCGAAGCCCCGAACCCCGCGATGTCTTAATCTGTCCAGACTCGCTCATCTGTGTTGTTGTTTAGCGAACCCTTTTTTCTCCTTCCTTCCGTACTTGTGTTGGACTAATCCCCAAGCCTTAAACCCCACACCCTAAGCTCCAAACCCTACACCCTACACCCTACACCCTAAACCCTAAACCCTAAACCCTAAACCCTAAACCCTAAACCCGAAACCCGAAACCCGAAACCCGAAACCCCAAACCGTGGAGGTGAACACGGCCTTCCTGGTGCTTTCCATCCACCTCAGGGGCCAGCAGACCCGGAGGTGCCAGGGGACGTTCTTTGGCATTGCAAACTACCCAGGCCCCGTTCCAAAAAGGTTCAGGGTTTAGGGTTAAGGGTTTAGGGTTTAGGGTTTAGGGTTTACGGTTCAGGGTTTAGGGTAACTGTACTTGAAGGTACATGGGGGTACTTTTAAGTCGGGATATAGGTAAGTACCCTTTCTAAGGGCGGTACTGTACTTGAAGGTACATGGGGTACTTTTAAAAGTAGGGATGATAGGCAAGTACCCGAAATAAAGGTGACAACCATCGTTTCGCTGCTTCCAACCCCACCCCACATGGACCTCCCAGCCTCGCCCTACAGGCCCCAGAAGCCCCACAAGCCCCGTAAGCCCCATCAGGGTTTAGGGTTTAGGGTTTAGGGTTTAGGGCCATGGAGTTCCTGTTGGGTGGTTGTCAAAATTAGGGGGCCTTTTTGGACACCCGAATTATTCGGTGCCGCATTCTATTCGGGACCCCACAAGGGACCATGATTTTGACAGCCACCCTCATTTAATGTGGTGTAGAGCCCTAAACCATAGCCGCCTCTGAGCCCTGAAGCACCTAAAGCACACTCAAGCCCTTATATAGCCCTAAAGCACAAAAACCCGCAAAACCCTGAGACCTCCAAAGTTCTAACGCCCGAAACTCCGAAAACCATAAAATCCTCGAACTCCCAACCCCTTGAAACCGAAAACCTCCAGAGCCCCAGAACCCTCAACCCTAAAACCTAAACCCGAAACCCTAAACCCTACCTAAACCGCCCGAAACCCCGAGGTTCGGAGCAATCCTCCACGCCCTGCGGCGCTGGCTCCGCATTGGCCGGTGACCCCAGGAACCGAGGGTTTCTTCTGAGGGTTTCGGGATCTTGGGTAAATTGGGGTGTTAGGGCTTATCTTTAAGGGTTTCTTCTGAGGGTTTAGGGTTCTTGGGTAAATTGGGGTTTTAGGGCTTGTATATCTTTAAGGGTTTCTTCTGAGGGTTTCGGGTTCTTGGGGGGGGGGGGGGGGGTGATTGTTGTTCCCCCCCCCCCACTTTGTTGAACAACACCCCCCCCCCCCCCTTCCGAAGTTAGAAGATAACGGGATGGGGGGGGGGGGGGTTGTTATTGTTCCCCCCCCCGCCTTGGATTCTTTGAAGAACAACCCCCCCCCACCCCCCCGGGGGTTGTTGTTGTTCCCCCCCCCCCCCTGACATCTACTATATCAGGCGAACGCGGTCTAGAAGAATTTGGTTTTCTCAGTATGGTAACTTGGAGCGAGTTCCAGAACAATAGCTCAGCGTTGGAGGAAGGGAGAAGAGAGAAGGGAATGTATTCTAAATTCCACCTCCCTCGAATCCTTTTTTGTTTTTGTATTTCATCTTTCGAAGAATCAGAGGAGAAGAGAGAAGGCAATTTATTCTAAATTCCACCCCCCCTCGAATCTTCTTTGTTTTTCGTATTTCATTCTTCGAAAAATCAGAGGAGTAGTGACGAGACGGTTTTTGTTTATAGAAGTAGACTTTATTTTAAATCACAGACGAGGGAGTGGGAGGAAGGGAGAAGCGAGAATGCGGAGTGGGAGGAAGGGAGAAGAGAGAAGGGAATGTATTCTAAATTCCACCCCCCTCGAATCTTTTTTTTGCTTTATGTGTTTCATTATTCGAGAAATCAGAGGAGGAGAGAGAAGGGAATTTATTCTAAATTCCACCCCCCCTCGAATCTTCTTTTGTTTTTCGTATTTCATTCTTCGAAAACTCAGAGGAGAAGGGAGAAAGGAATTTATTCTAAATTCTACCCCCCTCGAATCTTCTTTTGTTTTTTGTATTTCATTATTCGAAGATCAGAGGAGTAGAGACGAGAGTGTTTTTGTTTCTAGAAGTAGAGAGCGGGGGGGTTGGGGGGGGCGCAGCCCCCCCCAATTGCACTTCCAAGCCTTCCCCCCTCGAATCTTCTTTTGTTTTTCGTATTTCATTCCTCGAAAACTCAGAGGAGAAGGGAGAAGGGAATTTATTCTAAATTCTACCCCCCTCGAATCTTCTTTTGTTTTTTGTATTTCATTATTCGAAGATCAGAGGAGTAGAGACGAGAGTGTTTTTGTTTCTGGAAGTAGAGAGCGGGGGGGTTGGGGGGGGGCGCAGCCCCCCCCCAATTGCACGGCAGAGAAGTACAGAACTGGTTTATCCACCCTCCTGGTTTCCAGGGGTTGGAGAGGGCGCTTCAAAGGGGGCTTCAGGAAAGTTTAACCTGGATTGAACCCTACTTGTAAGCAGTAGTAGTAGTCGCAGTAGCAGTAGCAGTAGCAGTAGTAGTAGTAGTAGTAGTAGTAGTAGTAGTAGTAGTAGTAGTAGTAGTAGTAGTAGTAGTAGTAGTAGTAGTAGTAGTAGTAGTAGTAGTAGTAGTAGTAGTAGTAGTAGTAGTAGTAGTAGTAGTAGTAGTAGTAGTAGTAGTAGTAGTAGTAGTAGTAGTAGTAGTAGTAGTAGTAGTAGTAGTAGTAGTAGTATAGTAGTAGTAGTAGTAGTAGTAGTAGTAGTAGTAGTAGTAGTAGTAGTAGTAGTAGTAGTAGTAGTAGTAGTAGTAGTAGTAGTAGTAGTAGTAGCAGTAGTAGGTAGTAGTAGTAGTAGTAGTAGTAGTAGTAGTAGTAGTAGTAGTAGTAGTAGTAGTAGTAGTAGTAGTAGTAGTAGTAGTAGTAGTAGTAGTCGTAGTAGTAGTAGTAGTAGTAGTAGTAGTAGTAGTAGTAGTAGTAGTAGTAGTAGTAGTAGTAGTAGTAGTAGTAGTAGTAGTAGTAGTAGTAGTAGTAGTAGTAGTAGTAGTAGTAGTAGTAGTAGTAGTAGTAGTAGTAGTAGTAGTAGTAGTAGTAGTAGTAGTAGTAGTAGTAAGTAGTAGTAGTAAGTAAGTAGTAGTAAGTAGTAGTAGTAGTAGTAGTAGTAGTATAGTAGTAGTATATATAAAGGAGGGGGGGGGTTGTTGTTCGAATGACAAGTGGGGGGGGGGGGGAGAACAACGAAACGGGGGGGGGGGGGGGGTTGTTGTTGTTCTCCCCCCCCCCCCCCCCCCTCCCCTCTTCTACGAAAGGGAAAGGGGGGGGGGGGGTTGTTGTTCGAATAACAAATGGGGGGGGAACAACAACAACCCCCCTCACCCCTGCTTATTGACGGGGTCTCGGGTAAATTGGGGATTTAGGGCTTGTATATCTTTAAGGGTTTCTTTTGAGGGTTTAAGGTTCTTGGGTTGTTAGGGCTTTTGGGGTTTTGGGGGTATGGGGTTTGGGGTTTGGGGTGGAGGGTCTAAGGTTGGTTTATGCTTAGAGGGTTAAAAAAGGATTTTCTTTCGGCTTATGGGTTTCAGACTCCGCGATAAGCCCGACACCCAAAACCCTAAGCCCAAAGGTTCAGTTCGAGTGAGCGTTTGCAGGGTTTTCGGCTTCGTAGAACCTCTAGACCCTAAACCCTGAAAGCCAAAAAACCGCCCTGTGCCTGGCGCCCGAAACCTTCCTGCGACTTAGGACAGAAAACCGCAACCCCTAAGCCTTGATGCCCCCCCCCATCCTCCCAAACTCTGTAAACCCTTAGCCAAGTGCAATGTCCTCCAGACGTTCAAGTAGGCTTATAAGTACCCGAACTAGGTTGTAATCATAGCTACCCGATTTATAAGCAACACTTCTATGTACCCCATGATGGGACCCCATGAACCTTCGAGTACTGACTGTACCCAGGTCCGCTGCTATCTTTCTGGACCCTCGTCTACCTGGAGGTTGCGGGGATAGTTGCAGCTGTGGTGTGCAGGGCTTGAAGGTTTCGGGAGCGGTGCTTAGGGCTTCAGGTTTCTCAGCGTTCAAGGGTCCTACTTATGACCCTGTTGCCCTAAACCCTGAACCCTAAACCCTAAACCCTAAACCTTAAACCCTAAACCCTAAACAAACCTCCAAGTGCCTCCAGGTCTTCGTCCGGTGCATTCCGATGAACAACACCATGAAGAGCAGCGGCTTGCACAGCTGGTTCTCGGAGAAGCGTGGCTCGGCATCTTGGGGTGTTGAGAAGGGGTGTCGGGCTTAGGGTGGAAGGTTTGGGGTTCCGGCTTTAGGGCTTAGGGTTGTACTTCTAGGATATGGGCTGGCGAAATACGAGGTAGGACATGGGGATGCCATCTTGGGGTTAAGTGTACCTTGTTTGGGATTTTTTCAGAGGGTCCTTAGGGGCCAGCCTGGATGAGCATCCCAGAGAGTTATGGTGGTTGGCCTCGCCAAGAACCACCCCGTCGGTGCTGGGCTCACTTCGTGACCTTCTCCCGGCTACATGTAATGCGACTGCATCCGTGCACGCATGTGTCATGGGTACTTATAAGTAGGGTTATAAGCTATACGCAGGGCAACTATGGCTGCAACCTTCTTTGGGGCCACTGATAACCCTACTTGTAAGCACACAAACCTTCACAAGGGTTTAGTTTAGGGTGCGGGGTTTAGGGTTTAGAGTTTAGGGTCTAGGGTTTAGAGTTTAGGGTTTAGGGTTTAGAGTTTAGGGTAGAGGGTTTAGGGTTTACTTAGGGTTTAGGGTTTAGTGGGGGCTTAGGGCTGAGGGGGTCCAGGGCTCCCCGGCAGGGGTGCAACTCTGGGCGTGCCAGCCTTGCCCTGCAGCCAGAAACTTACAAAAGTGTGAGGTCCTCTCAGCCTCCAAGCCATATCCCTCAACCCTGAACCCTAAACCCTAGACCCGAAACCCGAAATCCTAACCCTAAACCCTAAACCCCAAACCTTAAACCCTAAACCCTAAACCCCAAACCCCTAAACCCCTAAACCCCAAACCCTTCACCCAGGCGAGGAGTGCTCCGAACCGCGGCACTTCGCTCTCACAGCTCTCATGGTTCATGAGCCCGTGACAGGCCGCACCTCACCCTGCCACAATGCAGACGCGGCCTCAGCTGCCCTCAGGTGGACGATAGACCCTAAACCCTAAACCCTAAACCCTAAACCCTAAACCCTAAACCCTAAACCCTAAACCCTAAACCCTAAACCCTAAGCCCTAAACCCTAAACCCTAAACCCTAAACCCTAAACCCTAAGCCCTAAACCCTAAACCCTAAACCCTAAACCCTAAACCCTCAACCCTCAACCCTCAACCCTCAACCCTAAACCCTAAACCCTTAACCCTTAACCCTAAACCCTAAACCCTAAACCCTAAACCCTAAACCCTGAACCCTAAACCCTGACCCTAAACCCTAAACCCTGACCCTAAGCCCTAAACCCTGACCCTAAACCACACAGTTTTTTTGGGGCTGCACGGGTCATAGGGTCGGGTTTGCTCGGCCTACCAGCTCTCCCGTTCAGAAAGGAACTTTGTGGGACCTGAATGACATCTATGTACAGGCTATAGGTATTGAAAAGGATATACAAGAATTATGTGATATTACAAAGAAAGCACGGTCTCACCCTCTCTCTCTCTCTCTATATATATATATACATGTATATGTATATGTATATGTATATGTATATGTATATGTATATGTATATGTATATGTATATGTATATGTATATGTATATATATATATAGAGAGAGAGTATTAGTTGATTGATCCCCCATGGGTTTTGTTGTTCCAAGGACATCTTCGAGGTGTTGTTTCTGCTGGACATCCTCGCGTTTATGATCTCGCAGGTGCGGGGAGTGTTCTAGGGTTAGGGTTTAGGGTTTTAGGGTTTAGGGTTTAGGGTTTAGGGGATAGGGTTTAGGGTTTTAGGGTTTTAGGGTTTTAGGGTTTAGGGTTTAGGTTTAGGGTTTCTGGAAGTTTCAGGGTCGACGGAATCCCTAGAATGCGGCCAAAATCTCGGGCTGAAGCTCTTTTCAACAGCCTTGCTTGCGCGCAATCTGAGTCCAACAGCAGGCCCCACTCTCATAAATCCCCTGAACCACCCCGCTAAACTCGAGCCGGAACTGATGCCTCCTCTCCTCGATACCTTAGTGGCCACGAGCAGTATTCGCCCTCTTTTTCTCACCCGATAGCCATCTCTTGACCCCATCCGACCCAACCTCTCCAGACCTTGAAAGCCCTGAGCCCTAGCCAAACCTCGAATCGACCTAATAGGGTTTCGGGTTTAGGGTTTAGGGTTTAGGGGGGGTAAACCCTTGGAAATCCTGCTTGGAACTCTCGCTCCAAGAGGTGGACGAGAGCACTTGCTGGCTGCTGCTCCCTGCCTCGTTGCTTTGGCGTTCCTGGCAAGTGCTGGGTGACGCCCGGCCGGCACGTGGCAGAAAGCATGGGCTCTAGGGGTTTCGGAATTCGCGGTTTCAGGTTTTTGTCTGAGGTCTTAGGGCTCTCAGTCTTGGGTTTTCAGGTTCTCACGGCCCTTGCTTGTTTGGGCTGTAGGGTTGCAGGGCTTTCAGGGTCTTGCTCGCAAGTTAAACCCTATAGCCCTAAGCCCTAAGGCATAAGCCCTAAGCCCTAAGCCCTAAGCCCTAAGCCCGAAGCCCGAAGCCCGAAGCCCGAAGCCCGAAGCCCTAAACCCTAAACCCTAAACCCTAAACCCTAAACGCTGTTGGTTTCCTTTGGGGGGTTGAGGAGTTAGGGGTTTAGGGTTTGAGGGCTCCTCCGTTATACTAACAGTTTTTCTATCATCGCTATTAAGGACTGTCAGAAAAGGGGGATCATCCCAAGTTTGGGTTCCTCCGTGTGGGACATAGAGGTCGCGACAAAGAAAGAGGCTAGGAATCCACAGGTTCCCAGAAGGTCCCCGTTTTCAGAAGGTTTTAGCACCTCTCAGCCTTTCAAAACCCGGGTGCCAGCGGGGGCTGGGGTGTAGCCTATTTCCCGTAAGACGTAACCTTAACCCCCTCAAGTGGCCCGAAGCCCCTTTCAACGCCAAGGAGGGGGAGGCACGCTGGGTTCGGGCCTCAGTGGGCGGCAGGGCTATCTTTGCTGCGCGTGGCGGGGTGGGGGTTGGGGTGGGGGTGGGGGGTGGGGCGGGGGTAGCTATGTTCTTTTACATGCATCTGTGCATGTTTGTGTGTATTTTTCCGAAACAACCCGAGTAATCTTTTTTGAAATGTCGCCCTGGAGTTTCCCGGTTCAGAGTTTGCCGTTCCATCGTACCCTAAACCCTAAACCCTAAACCCTAAACCCTAAACCCTAAACCCTGAACCCTAAACCCTAAACCCTAAACCCTAAACCCTAAACCCTAAACCCTATAGATTGAACCAAGGCGCTGGCCTACCGCCACCGCTTCGCCATGCCACTCGCCCCGAGCAATTAGGTCTCCAGGGTGGTTTAGAGGGCGGCTTCGGGCTTAGGGTTTAGGGTTTAAGGGTTTAAGGGTTTAAGGGTTTAAGGGTTGAAGGGTTTAAGGGTTAAAGGGTCTAAGGGTTTTAGGGTTTAAGGGTTAAAGTTGTGCGGGTTTAGGGTTTACGGGTTAATGGTTTTGGGGTTTTAGTTTAGGGTTTAGGGTTTTTGGGGTTTAGGGGTTGAGGGCTCGAAGGGTTGCTTCTTGATCCGTATAGATCTTCCTTGGCAGGCAGAGTTTAGGGGGCAGGGTTGAATGTTTAGGCTGGCGGGGTTGAGGGCTTTCACTCACCCGGAACCATCAGCCCCCTAAACCCCGTGACCGTCCCTAACCCGGTTTATAGGGTTGAGGTCTAGGGCTTAGGCTTTAGGCCTCAGGGCTTAGGGCTTGGGGCTTAGTAAGCCCTGACCCCATGTATACCCTAAACCCTAAACCCTAAACCCTAAACCCTAAACCCTAAACCCTAAACCCTAAACCCTAAACCCCATTTATGGCGATCAGGGTTTGCGGGCTCCGTCTGTTTCTCCAGGCTCCTGCCGGTGGCGCTGCTCACACTTGGCTTCCGCAAGCTGCCAGGGGTGGCTGTGAGAGGCTGCAAAGGGTTTAGGGTTTAGGGTTTAGGGTTTAGGGTTTAGGGTTTAGGGTTTAGGATCTGAGGGTTAGGGTTCAGGGTTTAGGGTTAAGTGCTTAGAGTGCTCAGACCTGGAATCTCCGCCCCGAGGCCCGGAAGCCCAAACCCTACATCCTGAAACCTTTTGGTTTGGGGTTTTGGGGTTTGGGGTTTAGGGTTTAGGGTTTAGGGTGGAAGCCCAAATCTAAACCCTGCACAAACCCGGAAAGCAAAGCCGAAGACCCTTAAACCCCTGAACACAATGCCCCCAAACCTGAATCCCAAAGCCTGAAGCCTCAACCCCCTAAACTCTAAACCCTGAACCTTCACCCTAATCCCTAAATATTAAACTGCAGCACTGCTTGAAGGTTCATGGGCACTTGAAATTAGGATTCCAAGTAGGGTAACTATGGTCCCTCAGGTAGAAGGTAACCTTAAAGCCCCAAACCCAATTCCCTGCTTCCCCTGTCTTTCGGAGCCACTATGTCTAGGATACCCGAAAGGTTCCTCCTTGCTGTGGTTCGCGTAGCTCGGGGGGTGTAAGACGCAGGATGCTCCAGGGTCCAGGGACTTTGCTTGGGTTTGGGGTTCCGAGTCGAGGGTTTTGGATAAGGGTTTAGGCTTTAGGGTTTAGGGTTTAGGGTTTAGGGTTTAGGGTTTAGGGTTTAGGGCCAAAGAAGAAGCTGGGGCAGGACCCGCTCCACGCTGGCTTCTGGACTTGGTTGGGCTGCTCCTCATTACCAGCTCCTGCATGCAGGACGGGAGGCCGGAAAACTCCCGACTGCAATCAGGGTTAGGGGTTTGGGTTTTCGGGCTCAAGTGCTTAAACAGCAGGCTTAGGGTTCAGGGTTTAGGGTTTAGGGCTTCGGGCTAAGGTTTAGGGGCCTCTAGCCCTACATCTTAAACCCCAAAGGTGTGCAGAACTCGCCCTGCAGCCTTAACCGTAGTTGACGCTTTGCCGCAGAGGACGCTTTGAACTTTGGCACTGCTGACTGGCCCCCACTGTTCGCGGACTTGGCCAGCCGCTTACGCCTCCTCAAGCCCTTCCAGCAGACGGCCGCCTTTCATGTGGCCTGGCACGGCCCTACCAGCACGGGCAATTAGGCCTCATAATGCCCCTAACCAACCCTATAAAGGCTAAAGCCTTTTCGAGAGCTTATAGAGGGCTATAGGGTATATCAGCCCATGCAGGTAAACCACCCGAACCTGAAAGCCTACAACTCCATCCAAGCCCTCGCCGAAGCTCCGAAGCTCCGAAGCTCCGAAGCCCCGAAGTCCCGAGGCAGCCTATTTAGAAATATAGAAGGGCTGAAAATTTCGGCAAGCATTGAGGTCTCCGAGCTGAGCTTTGTGCGCGCCTCAGATAGGGTTCAGGGTGTAGGTTTAGGGTTTAGGGTGCAGGGTTACAGGGTTCAGAGGGTTGAGGGGGAGTTCAGGTTCACAATTAGAAGTCCTCAGCAGGAACATCATGAGCATCATGGCCTTGGTCGTTTCTCGTTTGTGTCACCCGAAGGACACAAGAGCATGCTGGGCATACGCTACGCCTCCCACAAAACCCCCGGGCATTGGGGCCGCGGCCACACTACACCTGCACAACCCGAGGGTCGTCACAAGTGCCAACAGCGGTAAAGTCACGAGCATCATGGTGCTGTCGTTTCGCATGTGAGGCACCCGGAGGCCACAAGCAGGAGCATGCTGGGCATTGGGACCACGGCCACACTACACCCCCACAACCCGAGGGTCGTCGCAAGTGCCAACGGCAGGAACATCATGAGCATCATGGCGCTGTCGTTTCTCATGTGAGGCAGCCGAAGGCGAAAAGCAGGAGCATGCTTGGCATTGGGGCCGCGGCCACATTACACCCCCCCACAATTCGAGGGTCGTCGCAAGTGCCAACAGCAGGAACATCATGAGCATCATGGCGCTGTCGTTTCTCATGTGAGGCAGCCGAAGGCCAAAAGCAGGAGCATGCTGGGCATTGGGACCGCGGCCACACTACACCCCCACAACCCGAGGGTCGTCGCAAGTGCCAACGGCAGGAACATCATGAGCATCAGTTTCTCATGCGAGGCAGCCGAAGGCCAAAAGCAGGAGCATGCTGGGCATTGGGACCGCGGCCACACTACACCCCCACAACCCGAGGGTCGTCGCAAGTGCCAACGGCAGGAACATCATGAGCATCATGGCGCTGTCGTTTCTCATGTGAGGCAGCCGAAGGCCAAAAGCAGGAGCATGCTGGGCATTGGGACCGCGGCCACACTACACCTACACCCCCACAACCCGAGGGTCATCGCAAGTGCCAACGGCAGGAACATCATTTTGGCCTTCGGGTGCCTCACATGAGAAACGACAGCGCCATGATGCTCATGATGTTCCTGCCGTTGGCACTTGCGACAACCCTCGGGTTGTGGGGGTGTAGTGTGGCCGCGGTCCCAATGCCCAGCATGCTCCTGCTTTTGGCCTTCGGGTGCCTTTTAGCACGAGCATGCTGGGCATTGGGACCGCGGCCACACTACACCCCCACAACCCGAGGGTCGTCGCAAGTGCCAACGGCAGGAACATCATGAGCATCATGGCGCTGTCGTTTCTCATGTGAGGCAGCCGAAGGCCAAAAGCAGGAGCATGCTGGACATTGGGACCGCGGCCACACTACACCCCCACAACCCGAGTGTCGTCGCAAGTGCCAACGGGCAGGAACATCACGAGCATCATGGCACTGTCGTTTCTCATGTGAGGCACCCGAAGGCCAAAAGCAGGAGCATGCTGGGCATTGGGACCGCGGACACACTACACCCCCACAACCCGAGGGTTGTCGCAAGTGCCGTTCACGGCAGGAACATCATGAGCATCATGGCGCTGTCGTTTCTCATGTGAGGCAGCCGAAGGCCAAAAGCAGGAGCATGCTGGGCAGTGGGACCGCGGCCACACTACACCCCCACAACCCGAAGGTCGTCGCAAGTGCCAACGGCAGGAGCATCATGAGCATCGGCCACACTACACCCCCACAACCCGAGGGTCGTCGGAAGTGCCAACGGCAGGAACATCATGAGCATCATGGCGCTGTCGTTTCTCATGTGAGGCACCCGAAGGCCAAAAGCAGGAGCATGCTGGGCATTGGGACCGCGGCCACACTACACCCCCACAACCCGAGGGTCGTCGCAAGTGCCAACGGCAGGAACATCATGAACATCATGGCGCTGTCGTTTCTCATGTGAGGCACCCGAAGGCCAAAAGCAGGAGCATGCTGGGCATTGGGACCGCGGCCACACTACACCCCCACAACCCGAGGGTCGTCGCAAGTGCCAACGGCAGGAACATCATGAGCATCATGGCGCTGTCGTTTCTCATGTGAGGCACCCGAAGGCCAAAAGCAGGAGCATGCTGGGCAGTGGGACCGCGGCCACACTACACCCCCACAACCCGAAGGTCGTCGCAAGTGCCAACGGCAGGAGCATCATGAGCATCGGCCACACTACACCCCCACAACCCGAGGGTCGTCGGAAGTGCCAACGGCAGGAACATCATGAGCATCATGGCGCTGTCGTTTCTCATGTGAGGCACCCGAAGGCCAAAAGCAGGAGCATGCTGGGCATTGGGACTGCGGCCACACTACACCCCCACAACCCGAGGGTCGTCGCAAGTGCCAACGGCAGGAACATCATGAGCATCATGGCGCTGTCGTTTCTCATGTGAGGCACCCGAAGGCCAAAAGCAGGAGCATGCTGGGCATTGGGACCGCGGCCACACTACACCCCCACAACCCGAGGGTCGTCGCAAGTGCCAACGGCAGGAACATCATGAGCATCATGGCGCTGTCGTTTCTCATGTGAGGCACCCGAAGGCCAAAAGCAGGAGCATGCTGGGCATTGGGACCGCGGCCACACTACACCCCCACAACCCGAGGGTCGTCGCAAGTGCCAACGGCAGGAACATCATGAGCATCATGGCGCTGTCGTTTCTCATGTGAGGCACCCGAAGGCCAAAAGCACGAGCATGCTGGGCATTGGGACCGCGGCCACACTGCACCCCCACAACCCGAGGGTCGTCGCAAGTGCCAATGGCAGGATCATCATGAACATCATGGCGCTGTCGTTTCTCATGTGAGGCAGCCGAAGGCCAAAAGCAGGAGCATGCTGGGCATTGGGACCGCGGCCACACTACACCCCCACAACCCGAGGGTCGTCGCAAGTGCCAACAGCAGGAACATCATGAGCATCATGGCGCTGTCGTTTCTCATGTGAGGCACCCGAAGGCCAAAAAGCAGGAGCATGCTGGGCATTGGGACCGCGGCCACACTACACCCCCACAACCCGAGGGTCGTCGCAAGTGCCAACGGCAGGAACATCATGAGCATCATGGCACTGTCGTTTCTCACGTGAGGCACCCGAAGGCCAAAAGCAGGAGCATGCTGGGCATTGGGACCGCGGCCACACTACACCCCCACAACCCGAAGGTCGTCGCAAGTGCCGTTCACGGCAGGAACATCATGAGCATCATGGCACTGTCGTTTCTCATGTGAGGCAGCCGAAGGCCAAAAGCAGGAGCATGCTGGGCATTGGGACCGCGGCCACACTACACCCCCACAACCCGAGGGTCGTCGCAAGTGCCAACGGCAGGAACATCATGAGCATCATGGCGCTGTCGTTTCTCATGTGAGGCACCCGAAGGCCAAAAGCAGGAGCATGCTGGGCATTGGGACCGCGGCCACACTACACCCCCACAACCCGAGGGTCGTCGCAAGTGCCAACGGCAGGAACATCATGAGCATCATGGCACTGTCGTTTCTCACGTGAGGCACCCGAAGGCCAAAAGCAGGAGCATGCTGGGCATTGGGACCGCGGCCACACTACACCCCCACAACCCGAAGGTCGTCGCAAGTGCCGTTCACGGCAGGAACATCATGAGCATCATGGCACTGTCGTTTCTCATGTGAGGCACCCGAAGGCCACAAGCAGGAGCATGCTGGGCATTGGGGCCTCGGCCACACTACCCCCCCACAACCCGAGGGTCGTCGCCAGTGCCAACAGCAGGAACATCATGAGCATCAGGGCCATGGGGCTTTTATGATTTTGAAAGGGAGGAGTTTACATGAGTTGGGACAGCGACTACACCCAAAACCCTAACAGAGGTCCTTGGCTTCCTTGTCCTCTTGGGCGAGCCGTACTCGCTCGAGAACCGGCGCGGCCCGGAGTGCCCATGGTCCTGGGTCTCTTTCATGCCTTTCGTCCGAAGGTTGAAACCCTCAACCCTAAGCCCTAAACCCTAAGAATTCAGCCTAAACCCTAAACCCTCAACCCCTATAGGTTTTAGGTATGTTAGGGGTTGTGGGCGTCGGGGTTCTAGGGCTAAGCTGTGGCTTCGTAGGGCTGTTGGCTTAGTAGGGCTTTTCTCAGGGGGTCGAGGGGTTTAGGGCCTTCGTCACAGGCTTGGCAGTGGGCATACCTGGCCTGCGCGCTGCTTAGGGATTTCGGTTTTCAGGTATTCGATGGTTTAGGGCTTTGAGAGGTCTAAGCTTTGTGAGGAAAAGGCTCGGTCGTATAAACTGGTCCGAAATTCAGGGCCCTAGATTCGCAGTCAAATGATCGTCGTAGGGATTCCCTTGTAAATCCACTTCTCGGCTTCCTTGCAGAAAAAGAGCCCCCCAAAAAGGGAACCGCGTCTTGAACGCATGCTTTCTAAGGGCTCGATTGAGTCTTGGGATGAACTTCTCCAACCTCTTCGTGTTCCACTTTCTGGCGGGGTTCTACATGGAGGAGCCGCCCCTCGGACTGTTCGGTCACCGAAGCCCTAGGCCCTAAGCCCTAAGCCCTAAACCCTAAACCCTAAACCCTAAACCCGAAACCCGAAACCCGAAACCCTAAACCCTAAACCCGAAACCCTAAACCCTAAAGTCCAAACCCTCAAGCCTACAGGCCCCAAGACCGAACCTGAAAAGATTTCAGGGGGCTTAGGCTTTAGGGCAAACCCCAAACCCGACTCGTACCTCTCCTCCCCTTGGTAGCCCAGTGGTACCCTTCTCCCTTTTTTGAGCTCAAGGTTCCCCTCTCAAGTAACCAACCCATAATATGGTTACTGGGCTGCTAAGTCCCCCTCAACCCTCTGAAACAAAAGACGCCACGCAAAGGCACACGGGATGAAGACTACCCCTAAGGTTGTACCCCTAAACCCTAAACCCTAAACCCTAAACCCTAAACCCTAAACCCTAAACCCTAAACCCTAAACCCTAAACCCTAAGCCCTAAACCCTAAACCCTAAACCCTAAACCCTAAACCCTAAACCCTAAACCCTAAACCCTAAACCCTAAACCCTAAATCCCGACAAAGGCAAACTCTCTCCGGCACCTCGGCCCTCCTCTTCTTCGCCGCCGTGTACGCCGTCGCGGCGCTGTGCGGGCCCTACGGCCCTAGGGCTGTCTCTCATCCAGGGTGGGCCCTAAACCCTAAACCCTAAACCCTAAACCCTAAACCCTAAACCCTAAACCCTAAACCCTAAACCCTAAACCCTAAACCCTAAACCCTAAACCCTAAACCCTAAACCCTAAACCCTAAACCCTAAACCTAACCCTAAACCCTAAACCCTAAACCCTAAACCCTAAACCCTAAACCCTAAACCCTAAACCCTAAACCCTAAACCCTAAACCCTAAACCCTAAACCCTAAACCCTAAACCCTAAACCCTAAACCCTAAACCCTAAACCCAGGGTGGGCCCTTGTTTCCCCTCTTTTTTTCTTTTCAAAAGGGATGAGGTTCCTAAACCCTACTTTTTTTCGCTTTTTTAAGGGATGAGGTTCCTTTCTTTATGGACCTCGTTAAGCCGAGAAAAAGGGGCACAATTTCTGGTTCTGAGGTTACTCTGGGGGGCTTGCTTTGGTTCCGGTTGCCATGTTTAGGTGTTAGCTCGTTTGCACCAAACCACAAACTCCAAACCTGAAACCCTAAGCCCCAAACCCTAAACCCCAAACCCCAAGCCCCAAACCCCCAACTCCAAAACCCCAAGCCCTGAACCCGAAACCCTAAGCCGCAGCAGGAGGTTGATGGTACTTAGTAACCCAATGATAGCTGTACTTGTAACCCAATTATTAACCCCATTTCAGTACTTAAGGGGGTTACACGTGGGCTACAACTACACATCTCATTGGATTATAAGTACTTTGATGCTCCAAGCAAGGTTGGCATTCTTGGGCCTCGTTGCCGTCGAGGTCCCTGCGCTGACGCTCCTGAGTGGGGCCGACCCGCGCGATCCGCGGGAAATACTTGGGGGTTGGGGCTTAGGGCTCTAGAACCCGAAAACCCTAACCCTAGACCCTAAACCCTACTTCCTAACCCGACGACCTAAACCCCTGAAGCCCGCCCCCAAACCCCAAACCCGAAACCTAAACCCCTAAGCCCAAACCTTTGGCTCTCCTGGGGCCGCCCATACAGACACTGCTTTACCTTCGCAGCTGTTGATCTCTCCCAGCCACTCGTGGGGTGCACGGTGCCAGCAGCGGCACGTTCAAGCTCAAGTTCCTTGCGCCTGGCCTGAAAGTAAAACAAACCGAGACCCTTTAATAAAACCTAAACCCTAAACCCTAAACCCTAAACCCTAAACCCTAAACCCTAAACCCTAAACCCTAAAACCCTCAACTATATCAGGTTTTGACATAATTTGAGTCCAAGGCGTTGGGCTATCAGCCCCAAGTCCTAAATTTCCCGCCAGCCCCAAGCCCCTATCAGGGGCTTTCAGGGATATTTTTGCTTACGTTATGGTTCAGGGTTCAGGGTTTAGGGTTAGGGTTGAGGGTTTAGGGTTTAGGGTTTAGGGTTTAGGGTTTAGGGTTTAGGGTTTAGGGTTTAGGGTTTAGGGTTTAGGGTTTAGGGTGGTGTAATTGTTCTAGGTTTGCCTCCTACTTCTCAGTAAGGAATTGGGGCCTGATTACCAAACACGACGCCCAACCGAAGCCCTTTGAAGGGAATATGCAGGGCCCCAAAAAAGAACCAGAAAGTTGTTTCATGGGTTCCCCTACTACCCCTCGAAAACCCCCCCCCCCCCCCCCCCCCCTAGCTTCTCCCCATAATTAACCCTAATTTATTTATGATGGGAACGGGGGGGGGGGGGAAGTATAGAGGGGGGCAGTAGGGAAACCCATGATATATGGTTTAGGGGTTTCAGACCCTAAACCACAAACCCCACAACACTAAACCCTCAACCCTCTGCGCGAGGTCAAGGACAACTATCACCATGGCTTCCAGCATGCTGTCGATCGCTTCTCAGGCGGGGCCAGCGGCTTTGTGGTGCTTTGCTGAAACTTTAGGTCTGTAGCCTTTTTGGGTTTCTTGGGTTTCTTCATAAGGCAGCTAAAAATTTCGTTTATAGCTAGCCTACTAAGTGCAGCCAAGATCGGGTCAGCGTCACATCGCAGGCGTTTTCGGTAGGATTGTTGAGCTCAGGGTGTCAAGGTTGCATGATTTGCAGGTTTCCGGAACCTTAGGCCCCTCAACCCCAAAGCCTGAACCCTAAACCCTCCACCCCTTGTGGCGAGAGATCGGGCTCAGCAGCACTCTGGGTTATCAACCCTGGAGTCAGGGCTGAGGGCTCAGGATTTCGGGAATTGATGTTCGCGGCTCCGCGGCTCAGCAACATGTTCATGTCTTGATGGGTTGAACCTTTAGTCCTGCCCATGTAAACCCTCAACTCTCAACCCTCGACCCTCGACCCTCGACCCTCAACCCTCAACCCTAAACTTTAAACCCTGAACCCTAAAACCCTAAACCCTAAACCCTAAACCCCAAACCCCAAACCCGAGGTGACACTCATGTCCTCCAAGTGCTTCCACATCGCCGCCGATTCCCTCTTCGACTGCAACAATCGAAATAACATCAACAATAATAATAATGGCGCCTTGGCTTAGGGTTTGGGGTTTGGGGTTTGGGGTTTGGGGTTTGGGGTTTGGGGTTTGGGGTTCAGGGCTTAGGGACTTCGTGCTAGCATGGTCCCTTAATCTGTTGCCTGGCCTTTCTTGCAGGGTTCGGAAGTGCGGGCCCTTGGGTTGTGTAGGGCAGATGAAGGACATAGAAGGGCGGCCAAATCAACCCTAAACCCACCCAGCCGTTTTGGATACTTTGGGATCTGAGGGCTGATTTTGTTTATGGGCCTTAGGCCCGAACACCCGACACCCCCAAGCCCTGCACCCTTAGCCTATACCAAACTCAGGCCTAAGGGTTTAGGGTTTAGGGCTTAGGGCTTAGGGCTTCTGGCTTAAGAAGTTCTGGGTGAGTAATGGGTTCAGGGCCCAAGGGATTTGGGGCTTTGAGGGGTTTGAGCGTTTCGGGTCTGAGTGGTGTGAAATCACATCCATGTGCAGCCAAGGGAATAATCGCAATAATGGAAACTAGTCGGGAGCTCAGCGCGCCGCGGTTTTTTTGTGTCCATGCTTTGTGCTGTTGAGTTCTTGGAGCAGGGCCCCCCCCTCGAACAACCCTAGCAACTTCGGAACTACGACATGCCTCTAACTCTAAACCCAAAATCCTACAGCCCGAAACCCTCCAACCCCAAACCCTCAATTCTCTACCCTCTTGAAGTATGCGTCTCCATCGTGGGAGCCAGGAGCAAAGGAAACCGAAAGAAAAATGCTTCTACTGCTGCTGCTACCTCTCATAACAGCAGGAAACAGCCAGTGACGACAGGAACAAAGAAGCAATGAGACCATTGCAAGACAAGCGGTCATGCCAACAAGAAATAGCACTAGTCATAGCGATCTTACAACAAAATCAATATTTCCAGACGATAAACAATACCACTCGTAGTACTTGTAGTTTAGACGTTTGGGGGTTGATCTGTTCCAACATCAACCCCGAGGGAGCCCGAGAGCTCCAAGGGCCCCCCAAGACCTGGTTTCGGGCCCGAAGAATTTAAAGATGTTTGGTCGCTCTGTTTTAAGATGCCTGGTTTAGGGTTTAGGGCTTTGCTGCATTTTTGGGTTCTGAGTCTTGGGGTGCTGATGATATCTTGGCCTTTCTATACACACACACATATATTTATATGTATATATACATATATACATGTAGAGAGAGATGGATACGGCATTATAGGGTATCCGAAAGGGACTTCCCCGCTTCTCCTTTCGAAGAACTGACCACATGGGGGTCCCTTCCTAACTGTCCTATCCCCAAGCAGCTTACAGCCCAAGCCCCCTCCAACAATCGAGTACATCTCAAGCCCCAAAACCCTCCAAACCCCAAACCCCAAACCCCAAACCCCAAACCCCAAACCCCAAACCCCAAACCCCAAACCCTAAACCCTAAACCCTAAACCCTGAAATCCCTAAGCCCAAAGACTCATGATGTTCCTGCTCTTGGCACGTCCGGGGGCTCTCTGGGTGCCAGTGCCAACAGCAGGAACATGAGCATGTCCAGGTTGTTTCTCATATCTAGGGTTTAGGGTTTAGGGTTTAGGATTTAGGGTTTAGGGTTTCTACAACGTTAGCACTTTATGAGTTTTGGGGTTCCTCTAACTTCATATCAAGGGAGCTTAAAAGTCAAGCCTTTATTGGGGGGTTAAAGAGCAACCAAGATATGAGGCACATGAAAGAAGCCAAAAGCAGGAGCATGGTGTGGCCGCGGGTGCCCATCACGCTCCTTCTTTCGGCCTTCGGGTGCCTCATGTGAGAAACGGCGTGGCCATGACGCTCTTGATGTTCCTGCTGTTTTGCACCCCATAGAACAAAACATGAAGTAGCTGCATAAGCCTGAGATCCCTCATATGTTAGAAGTTAATCCTTACATTCCTAATGAACGAAACCCTAAACCGTACACCCCCCCAACCCTAAGCCCTAAACCCTAAACCCTAAACCCTACACCCTAAATCCTTACATTCCAAAAGAATCAAGCGCTTGCGACACCAGGGCCGGGAGCCCGGCCAACGACGCGACGGGGCCTCGGTGGGCATCCGGGGTTTAGGGTTTAGGGTTTAGGGTTTAGGGTTTAGGGTTTAGGGTTTAGGGTTAGGGTTTAGGGTTTAGGGTTTACGGTTTAGGGCTTTCGGCTTTAGGATTTTGGGTTTTAGGGGTCATTTGTTTCTGTTAAACCTTAGACCCCCTAAATCGATTTTAGGCTTTGCGGCTTAGGGTTTGGGGGTTTGGGTTCTCTTTCGAGTTGTCGTCTTTGGGGTTTAGGGCTCAGAATTCAGAGTTGCAGGGTTGAGGTTTTAGGGTTTGAGCAGCCCAAACCCGAAACTTTTAACCCCCAACCCCAAACCTTAGGGTTTGGGCTTTGAGGGCACGGATGCCTTGAGGAGCTCTATTTTGGAGCATGTTCGGAGACCTGCAAGAACCCTAAACCCCCGAAGCCCTAAAGCCCTAAACACCTCAACCATAAACCCCCAGAGCTCTAAGCCCAAGAGCCATGATTCAGGGAAGAAGGCGCGGAGGGAAGGCTTGTGGTCACGTTTTTTTGGGAGGTTTTAGGGTAAAGCTGTTAGGGGTCCTAAGCCCTGAACCCCAAACCCTAAACCCTATTTTGCTCTTTTGGTCGGCTTTGCAGAGGATGCCGCAAAAAGTTCCTGAAAAAACCAAGCCGTAAGCCTTTAAACCCACCCCACCGCCGAGAGCGATTCTTGGATCATGGCTAGGTAAAACCCTAAAACCCTAAACCCTAAACCCTAAACCCTAAACCCTAAACCCTAAACCCTAAACCCTAAACCCTAAACCCTAAACCTTAAGCCCTAAACCCTAAACCCTACACCCTAACAAGAAATCCTACAAAACCGAAACCCCTCTACCCATAAGCCTCTAGGCACCAAAGGGAGCTTTCAAGGCGCATCTACGTCCCGATCATGGTGGCGGCCCCCGCCGTCAAGATGCCCAGCTCCACGAGAAGTGCGAGACACAATGCCAGGCTAGGGTTTAGGGTTTAGGGTTTAGGGTTTAGGGTTTAGGGTTTAGTGTTTAGGGTTTAGGGTTTAGGGTTTAGGGTTTAGGGTTTAGGGTCTTCACCTGGAGCCCTGAAACCCGAAGCTTCCAAGGAGCTCCCACTTCAGGGTTTTTAGGGTACTTAGGGGTTTTTAGGGTAGGGTTTAGAGGTTTAGGGCTCGAAGGGTTGCGTGATGATCCCTATAGATCTTCCTTGGTAGGCAGAGTTTAGGGGGTTGGTGGGCGGGGGGGGGGGGGGGGTGGTTGTGCTGAAAGCTCCTGAATGGCGATGGACCAGGAGGCAAAACCCAAAACCCTAAACACCCTGTAACCGCCAGGGGGAAGCCCTTACTCAATAGGCAGCCTGCCATATCAGCTGCCCCTAAACCCTAAACCCTAAACCCTCAACCCTAAACCCTAAACCCTAAACCCCAAACCCCAAACCCTAAACCCGAAGCCCTTCTTAAGATTCAGGGTCAAGGGGGCTGCCGAGACTCAGGCTTGCCGGGCTGGCCTTGCCCATTTAGGGGCCTTAATAATTAGAATAGGGTGTTGGGGGTGATTAGAGTATAGTTATAAAGGGACCACGAGGGAAGAATATTAGTAGTTCTTGCGACCCTATCTTGGGGCTTATTGGGGAATCGAAGATCGCAGGCTGGTACTAGAAATCCACCTGCTGTGTGCCACACAGCCAAGCCAAGAGGCCGATGGCCTCTCCCTCTAAGCTTAAACCCAAACCCCTAAACCCTAAACCCTAAACCCTAAACCCTAAACCCTAAACCCTAAACCCTAAACCCTAAACCCTAAACCCTAAACCCTAAACCCTAAACCCTAAACCCTAAACCCTAAACCCTAAACCCTAAACCCGCCAGGCTCCTCAGTCGCCTCCGAGCACTGAAGAGAGCCGGGCCGCTTAAACAGGGTTTGATCCAGACCTGATTTCGTGGACGAGGGTAGTGGTTTGTTTAGGGTTTAGGGTTTGGGGTTTAGGGTTTAGGGTTTAGGGTTTTTGCATCTTGGGTTGAAGGCTCAGGGCTGGGGGTTCAGAAGAGGACTGCGTAGGCTTTCGGCAAGTAGCTGCAGGGTGAGGGCTGGGCACTGCTTTAGGGTTTGCAGGGTTTGGGGCTTGTGACGCCCCCTGACGCCGCCCTGAAACCCTAAAGCTTAAGCCCCCAAAACCCAAAACCCTAAACCTTAAGCCCGAGGCATTTGGCTGCCAGCGAGAGCATGTGCATGTTAGTGGGGGGCTTGAAAGCTTTACCGCTGTGTACGATGTTGCATGGTGTCACCTACTTGAGTTTTGCTTTCTTTTTCCTTGTAGTCTCGTTGGCTACAGCGCCCGGCATTTTGCAGGGCTTTTTCGAACCGTCCGCAGCCATGAGCGGACGCGACTCCGGACTGGGGGCAGAGCTCAGCCAGGCCTACCGCCACCTCGAGGCACAGAGGCAGGCCACACAGCACGACGTCTACAACGCCGGCCAGGACATGTGGTTCGACTCAAGACGCGCTGCTAAGAGAGGGCCCCCGTCCACCCTGGCGTCTACGGTCCAGTCTCATGCTACACCGCCCTCGGACCACGTCATGGAGACCGCGGAGAGGGACGCCATTGTGGAAGAAGGGGTCCGCGATCCCCCGACAGAGAGGCGGACCCCTTCATCCCTCTTCCAGCCCATGCCCATTGAGACGGACATAGCCTACCAGATGACGGCTGCTCAAAGGGGCGTGGACATTAACGATGTGGGGGCTATGCAAGCCTGCATGGCTACACCGCTCCCAACAAGGAATGAGGTTCTCCAGACAATTCGCGATTACCACCTCGGGGTCCTGCGACCCGAAATCTTCAACCTCATCACGCAGGTCGAGAACGTCATCGGCAAGCTCGACGACAAGATCCTCAAGACCCAGGAGTCTCTGCAGTGGCTAGCCTCAGACAATAGGCAGCAGCAAAAGAAGGAGAGCGCCATGCTAGTCGTCACGTCTGGCTGGGATAAACGCTCGCACCCGCGGACAGGCTCTTTCAGATTAACTGGATGCTGGAGCAGCTGGAGCACATCAAGCAGTTCATTCACCAGCGCGTCTACAACGCCTCCGACTCCTGCAGACTTTGGTGTCTTTCTGCCCTCGTAGTGGAGCCGTCTACACCGCCAGCAGGCCCACACGCGTGGTCTACGGTGACAATGCTGCAGTTCAAGGACTTCTCGTGCCGCAAAGCGTTCGTTGACACCTACGGTGGTGGAGCAGGATGCCCTCTGTACAAGGACGCCAAAACGCCCGTCAAGCAGCACCACATCAGGGTTACTGCAGCCTCACCGCAGTTCCAGCGCAAGCTTGAGCTCCCATTGCGGGTGGCGCTCACTGTGATAAACCGCTCCTCGGAGGTGCAGGGTACAACGCCGGAGCCCATCGTCATCTTTGGCGCACGCTGACAGTCATGAAGCCCGCCGCCACGAAGGAGTTCAACCCCCAAGCCCGCGCTTGGGCCCGGATGACGTACTACGAGCAGAGTGGTGAGCTACGTGGCCTTCTCGAAGTGGACGCGGAGCTGTTCGACCTCATGTCAGCTAAACCGCCGCATGGGGACGAAGAAAACCTTTGGGCCCACTGCTGGAACCAGCTGACCTTTGGAGTTCAGCACGAGTTGGACGTCGCCGAGAAGCAAGTTTTCACCCAGGCAGCCCTCGGAGCCAAAGGTTCCTCGAAGGGTATTTCCCTGGGTAAATCGCAGCGCCACTGGAGCGCGCCGTTTATCTATAATTCGGCCATGAATCCCTTCCCGATCCCCATGACCATCAGCAAAGTTGATGCTGTCAGCTATTGTTGGGATGAATATTGCGACAAGGTAGCTGCCCCACAGCATAAGGTGGGGAACTACCAGGCCGGAACTTTTGAGGGGGCTCCCGTGGTTACACCGCCAGCGGCGGGAGCCAATCTTCCGCAGGGACCCGCGCCCTCTGAGCCAGGCCCCGTCAAGGGTAGAGGCAAGTGACGGGGTCTATATAGAATTGCGGGTATGGCCTCAGCGCCTTTTGCATGTTTAAATTTTGCAGTCCAGTGCTCCCCGGACTACACCGCCCTAATCCCACATTTAAGGCTGCGTCTGCCCACCTTTGAATTTTCTCAACACAGACTGCGCCGCGGATACGGGTTGAGCACGGCTGCCTTTAAGAGACAGGGAGGTAGCGCCTTTTCCTTCCTGGGTAAAACGCCCAGCAGATTCCAGGAACCCCACCTCACCAGTAGATGCATTGGTTGGGATAGGAGTCCTCTTCGCAGATCACAGTTTAGGGGTAAGAAGCGTCACAAACAACCCGCCTGTCCCCACCTATCTAGGGCAATCCTTTGGCATCTAATAGCAGCATTTACAGTCTTCTACTATACCTGTCCACACCGCCATAACCCCTTAATTGTAGTCCTGGATGCCCTGGCCGTTTTCGGAGCCTTTTCCACCATGGCACGCTCCGCAACAATGATCTGTCGCTCCGCAAGATCTTGCAGAACACAAAGAACAGAGAACACAGCACAGGCTACACCGCCGGGTCAGGGATTTCTTAGGTTGGGGTATGCTATTGACTATCTAGGTGTACTCCAAAGAACACTTAACCGTCTGATGCATGCCCTCAATGGTAACACCGCCACTAGAGTAGAGATCTCCCTCAATGATCTTATACCTCCAAACCCCACTCCCCTACCTGGGCTGAAACTTTCAAGAGCGTTCCTTTTAGCACATCGGCAGCCCAAATCCCCTGTCCCAGAAGAGCTCCCCACCCTAAACCCCCGGGCTACACCGCCACGAACAGGGCGAAGAGCATGTTTCAGAAATAAAGAGGGAATTAAGATTTCCTTCTCCAAAAAGGTTACAAAGCCACAACGCCGTTTTGTTCAACAAGACGGGCTGTCACCCACTTTGTTCCCCTACCCTCCACCCTACCCACACCCAGCCTTACCCTGAAGGGGTCGGGCAGACAGTTTCCAAGGGCACTGGGAATTCAATGAATTTAAAGAATACTTTCATTCTTGCTAGTAAGCCTACACCGCCTCAACGAGGCTTGCCGGGTGCCACTCCGGTGGTTAACGAAGAGTGTTTGTCCCCACCTCTTCCCGCCAAAGCTCTTTTAGGTCGGGGACCCGGGGCTCGCTGTCTACGTAGACGATATTATCGTCAGTGGCGGGGGTCCTTTAGGGCTAACATATTGCCAGGGAACTCGGGAAACAACCTGGTAAAGGGAAGGGTTCCCTTGAAAGCAGATCATGGGAAAGACAGGAAGACAACCAATGCCGGAAATTTTCGTAGGCTCGTTCTTCGACAATCGGCAATTGGAGTTAGGAAGGGAAAGACCACAAAGCTAATGGCTACACCGCCCGTAGCTTATGGTTCTTCTCTTCGAATAGGCACACAAAATGTTCAGGGAATGGCTGAACTATTTAAGCATCAAGAGGTCCTCGCTCTCATGCATACCCATCAGCTCGACGTTCTGATGTTAACGGAAACCCACTCCAAGTCATACTACTCATTTCAAAGTCAGGGCTACCTTTTTGTGGTTAATGGTAACAACAAGGATAAATGGTCAGGGGTCACAGCGGTTATATCGCCAAAAATGGTTCCTCATATTTGCAACATCATTCAACACACTTCTCGTATCTTGCAAATTATCATCTCATCCAAATCAGGCTCCATTCATATTATTGGGGTATATGCCCCACACGACAAATCGCAGGAAGAGGAGCGTAAGACCCCATTCTGGAACATGTTGGAAGACATCCTAACAACAATTCCACAACCTGAGCCGGTTTACGTTGTAGGAGACTACAACGTCAGGTTACAAGGTAGGTTTTCTGCTGAACAGGATTTTTTGGGGCCTCATATCTACGGTAAGGGCAAACTCGCTGCCAACACTAAAACGCACTCCAACCGCACATTCTACACTTCTTTGTTAAAATCCCTTGGATTTGCAGACGCTTTATCCTTTAAACAGTCCAACCTGACCAAGCATGTCACCTACAGGGATAAATTCTCACCTCCGGACAACTGGGACCAGTTCATTCTCGACCCCCTAACTCTTCTACAAATGTGGGACCGTTTTGCCACGCTCCCCTTGCCGGAGTCGGATCAGCTTTCGCTGGTTTCGGAGATTCGAGCGTTCCTGGGTTTAGATACTCTCCCTCCCAATAAACTGGCTACACCGCACATAGACCCGGTCCGCTTTCAAAGCTTGGACAGACTGATTACCCCTAGGAAGTGGCTCCCCACGATCCGAAAAGTAAAAGCTGTACACAACACAGGTTTTCCAAGCGATCATTACCTACTTCTTACAGAGCTCAGCGTCCGGCTAGGGGCACGTAGGCAGAGGCAACCCAGACCCCCCGCCCTGGAGTACAACGCCAACAGACAGCAGCGCGAGAAGTTCAACAAAGAATTTAGGAACGCACTATGTCTAGAGGATACTGAGGCTACACCGCCAAAACCTTCGCTTCCAGTAGAGGTCTATACCGATGGTTCAGGCTCGAGAGGTAAATGCACCAGTACAACGCCAGCCGGTTGGGGTTTCGTTACGGTAATAAACGGAGTCCCCACGCACAAAGCCAGGGGACCGGTAATTACGGGTACCTCGCCTTTTTCACTAGGAGCGGTGGTTGGGAGTAACAATACCGGAGAATTGTCCGCATGGATGGAAGCAGCGTTGTATTTACTGTCAATGGACCCTATCCCTCCCACCGTTACATTCTGCTTTGACAGTAAGTGGGTGGAAGGCATGGTCACAGGAGCATTTCGCCCGAATAGGCACAAAGCCATGGTCTACTCCGCCAAACGTATCTATTCCCTATTAAAGGCCAGAACAACAATCAAATGGACCTGGGTTAAAGGCCACTCAGGACAAGAATATAATGACATGGCGGATGCGCTTGCAGGACAAGCAAAACAAGATGGCGTACGAATAGGTGGCCGTTCTGAACAGCACTTCTACCTTACCCCTACTAACCTCCCTTTGGCAGACGCACAAGCCCCCCTCCCCATCATCAAAAACGCGCCGGACCGCATCTCACAGGCCCTATTGACGGCGGCGGAGAATACATTCGCTAAACTGCCGGTCAAACCCAGGACGTGCTGGATCACTCCAACACTTGCAGCGGACATCGAAGCAGTAAAACAGCGCAGATTACATGGAGACCCTCAGGCCACTCAGGAATACAAAAGGCTCAAAACGCAAGCCCGCAAAGTAAAACGCCAATGGCTAAGGGATCAGGTCCTGCAATCCCACAATCAGGGGTCGCAGGCGCTTTGGCGGAACCTCCGTAAAATGAAAACGGGATTTAGAGAACGCAAATCCAGGCTAAAAAAGGAAGGTCTTTCGGTACCTTGGGATAAACAGCACGAGGCGTTTGCAGACCACCTCGCCAATGTACAATGGGGTCCCACCACGGTCACGGCAGAAGAAAGAGAATTATTACGGGAGTCACCCTCTTTATACGCTCCCTCGGCTACACCGCCCCCACCCTTCACCCTGATAGAACTCTCCGACGTTATCAAGCAATTACGAAAGGCTAAAGCGCCCGGTCCAGATAACATTCACAATGAGCTGGTGCTACTTCTGGACTACATAGGGGAACAACAACTATTGGAAATGTTCAACGAATGTTTCAGTAGCGCCACAGTTCCCCAAGAATGGAAAGAGGCTCTTATCGTTAGTATTTATAAAGGCAAAGGTTCGGATTCAGACCCTGCTAATTATAGGCCAATTTCCTTGCTAAACACTTTCTATAAGATCTATGCGGCATTACTTCAAAAAAGATTGGCTAAAGCGCACGATCATCAGCTTCGGAGCACGCAATTTGGTTTTAGGGCTAATAGATCCACGCAACAACCACTGTTTGTCCTACGCAGATTGCAAGACCTAGCGCTGAAAACAGGCTCTCCCTTTCAGCTGCTGTTCGACAAAGTTGATCATGATTCTATGATCATAGCATTGGAGCGCCTTGGAGTACACCGCCAATACGTCAACATTATTAGAGATCTTTACACCAACCAGACATTCTATACGCGAGGACCCTTCGGGGACACCGCCAAGGCTACACCGCACACCGGTATTCGGCAAGGTTGCCCCCTAAGCCCGTATTTATTTATCATGGTTATGACAGTGCTATTCTCTGATGTAGACCGCAGGCTCCGTATACATGGCACCCCCACTAACTCCTGGTCGGTAGGCAAACCAGTATACGATCTAGAATACGCTGATGACACGCTTCTCATTTCGGTTACAAAGCCACAAATGAACGACATGCTTAAGGCAATTGAGGTAGAAGCCACCCTATACGGGATGCTTCTGAACAAAGAAAAAACAGTCTCCCTGGAGTACAACGCCGACGCCCCCCAGGTCCTATACTTTGCCGATGGCTCCCCGGTTCCCATAACCACTGACACCAAATATTTAGGCTCTCAGGTTACATGGGACAAGGCCACTAAGCACGCCATAGAAGCTCGTAAAGTCAAGGCGCACATCTCCTACATCAAACTCCAACATTTCTGGAGGTCACGCATCAATTCTAGAACTAAAACTAGAATCTTCAATGCCATAGTCTTGCCTACTTTACTGTACGGCTTGGATACGCTTACGCTGGAAATTAAGCACCTAAAGACCATAGATGCATGGTACCACAGATATCTTCGTAGAGCACTAGGAGTCAAGGACTCATATTATTCGCACATCTCGAATAGACGGGTATGGACGCTAGCGGGCCGGCCCACGCTACCATCCCAAATTCTGACCTCTGCCCAGTTAAAACAATTGGCAAATAGCTTGGCTACACCGCCCAACAATCCGGTGCACCATGTAGTCTACTCTCCGGGTTGTAAAGATTCAAATTCACAAAGTCTTCACACAGAGGACATCCCCAAAGATATTGGCTGGAACTCAACACTGAGTATGCATTACCGGTGCTTAAAGAATACATAAGGCTAAACCGCATAAACACGGAGGAGCAAAGGCAAGACTTCTTAGGCCTCAAACACCTCCTTAATAGGGACCCCCTCTTCCTGTCTTTCCTGGAATCTGCGCCGACGCGCTGCCCCCACTTGTTCAAAAGACACGCCAAAGCACTTGCATGCGCATGGCTGCCATAAAAAAAAACCTTAAGCCCTCGAAGAACCAGGCGG